TAACGTAATAGAAAAGTTAAATAATCAATCATAAAATTCGCATTTGTATAAACATGCTCTATTGTAAATTACTAATCTTAAATCGCGAGCCATCGAGTCTTAGATTAGAAGTCATTGAATTTCTGCGACTAATGAAACAGAGAATGATATGTTGCAACATGCTTAATATACATGTTTTGCTATGAGTGAGTGAGCATGTATAAGGACCTCCGTAAGGGGTTAAGTTTCAGGGTGGGCACTTGGTTCGATAAATATGAACTTAACCGAAATCGAATTAAACCAAAATAATGCTATTTGGTTCGGACTTCGGAAGGGAAATATGAATATTTCAGAAACCAGCATTCTTTCAACCCAATCGAATTTTTGAATTTTTGACCAAAAAACCAGATTACTATAATTGCAAGCTCCAAATGGTGGGTTTTATGTTTGCAGTTGTTTTAAGACTTAAATATTTAAATCATGTTAGTGTTTTATTACTTATGTGTTGAAATGTTTGATTTTATCATTGATGATGCATATAATTGTATATTTATGTTTACATTAGAAGTGAAAAATAACTTAAAAGGAGAAGATACAATTAGCCTCACAAATTTGATTTTGTGTAAAATTCTGAACCAACCCGAATTATAATTCGGTATAGACCGATCGAACCGAATTATAATTCGGTTCGAATTAGATTTGAGATTTGGCGAAATTCGGAGATCCGGTATTCGTAATTTCAGTTCGATCGGAACTGAACCGACCGAATGCCCACCCCTTCATTAGTTAGGTTGTTGAGGTGGAATTATTGGATTTATTATTCCTACCAACTATTTTGAAATTATGCTAAATGGCTATCAATGAAATTATTAAAAAAAGGGGGAAATAGATAGGGGTGGGCAACGGGACGGGACGGGATACCCGTCCCGTTTTAAACGGGTACCCATTCCCATTTGGAGACTAAAGTCCATCCCATATCCCAAACCCATATGGGAAACGGGTACCCATTACCCGTACGGGACGGATAACGGGTACCCATACTACCCATAAATACCCAAAGTTTAAATGACATCACATTACATATCTTTATAATAACATGCTCTTGCGGGGAATAATAAGAACACGATATGATCAAAAACATAAATTCAATCTCTATATACACAAGCATTCATTTCAAAACATGTCCCTAAAACTAGATGACGTTTTAGCTAAAGACAATTACATCCCAAACCCACTACATAAACATGTATTAGCAGGGAAATGACGGTGGGTCCCATATTGAATGGGTATAACGGGTACCCATATTACCCAAAAGGGTATTTGCGGGTAACTCGCGGGTACCCATATTAGGAATGTACAATCCCAAGTCCCATCCGTTTATAATATTACGGGTAATATGGGTACCCGTAACCCTTAAAAAATGGGACGGATACGGGTATACCCAAATACCCGTTTCCCATTGTCCACCCCTAGAAATAGATATATGTTGTCAATTTGTGCCGAAAGAAGTGATTTATTAGATTCCCCTCCAAGTGGCCAACTTGTTCTTCAGCTGCCCACAAGTGTTTTTTTGCATACTTACTCGATCATGCACACTGGAGTACTCCATGAGTCCACGTCCACTCAAGTGTGAATGACTCAACTTCCACTTCAATTTCCTGCCTAAAATCTAATCTAGATGATTATGATGTGCAAAATGGCTCTTCAGCATTTTGATAATCGTCACTTATTAGAGAGTCCATTTCCATTACCCTATCTACTACCAATTCGAATTTTCAATCCTTAGTTTGGCTTCATATCTAATCTGTTTGTTGTCAATTTGTCATTAATTTGATCATTGTCATGTTGTCATTGAGAATAATGTTACAAGGGTGGTTTAATAGAACACCACACCTTAGTCGTGCACGGCGAGCTAGCTCATAATGGACCAAGACATCAGTTTATAATGCACAAGCCACCCAACTCTTAGGGCAACCAAAACAGCAACCTAGTTCTCCCTGTATTTGGAGGAGTATCGTTATGGACAAACAATGGCTAAGTACTAGTTTAATACACCAACTAATGAAAGCCAGCAACACCTGACTTAACAGTAGAGAACTAAACATGCAATGAATAATGATGTGTGGGCTTTGAAATGTATTGGGCTTTGTGTTTTAAAATACCAGATCAAATTGTTTGGGCCAACCCATAAGCTAAGCACACAAGTATATTAGACAGAAGCTGAAAGTGGCTGAACGGGCAGTAGGCCTGTTATTTATGGGCCTAATCCTATAAGAAGCCCAGGACATAATTCAGCAGATCCCGATCACGAGCGGTCAACAACAGTGATGGTTCGTGACGACCTTTTCTATTATAGATTAGGAAGTGTCGAAAAGATATAAAATCAACCCTCCAGATGACATCCATCAATCCTTCTTCTTGAATTTAATTTCCTCCGTAATCTAATCATCGCAAAATTTGTTTTAATTTTGCATAAATATTTTAGTACTACTACTGGAAAGAAATTTTCAAAAATACGAAAATATTTTTGGATATAAGGGGTTTTGGAAATAACTTTATTTTTTATTTTCACGTACATTCTGAAAATATTTCCATGAAAAAAGTTGTAGTCCTCAAATAGTTATGCGGAATACGAAAAAAATTTACTACGATCGGATACGAGCACAAAGTTAAGGTCATTGCAAATTTCAACATAGTGAATCGAGTCAGTCTGACTCGATCCACTATCTCAGGTAGTGGATCGGGACTCTCTGACTCGATCTGGATCGATCCCATTAATGGTTTGAGTCACTCTAACTCGAACCACCCCAAACTTATATATTTTAGGACAAGTGCTATAGTTTTCACCTATGTTAGGATTGATCGATTTTTTTTTTTTACCAAACCGCTGGGTGGAGCACGGGTTTTAGACCAAATCACCACGACCTCATGAAGTCACCAAAATCGCCCCCCACCCATACATCGAAAATTGCGCCCCCACTAGTCGATTTTCGAGAAATTGTGGTATTTTTGGAATGTATGTGAAAAGTGCTAAGTTTGGTCACTGGATTGATTAAAAAGTGTCATGTTTAGTCACTGGTAAAAATTAATATCAATTTTGGTCACTCAAATTAGTAAAACGGTTCACATTTAGTCACTCTCCGTTAAAGCATTAACTTTATCTGATGTGACAGTCAACACTAACAATTGATCATTAAATGCCTGACGTGACAATTAAAAAATGAATACATATTTTTAATATTTTCACATGACTAAAATAAATTTTTGATTAATTTTTTAATTGCCATAGCATGGGCCACAATTTAGTTCATTTCCCCTAAGAGCATCTCTATTGGAACTGCATTTAGAATTGCATTATGACATTATATTTATTTGCAATTGCATTGATGTAGATGACAATTGCATCTTTGCAAGCTTGCATATAATGCAATTATGGAATGTAAGCCACGTCATCTTTTTTATTATTAAATTATTCATTAATTTTATTATTTGAGTGTTTATGTTTTAATAAATTAAATTAAAAAAATTAGTTGTAATTGCAAGTTAATTGCATTGATGTGGTGCAATGCAAGTAAGATGAGTTGGATTGCAAAAAAAAATAATAATAATAATAATAAATGCAATTATAAATAAAAGAAAGACAATAAAATAGCTATTTAGATTCTAATCTTGTCATGCCATTAAAGAATGGACTAGTACATAAAACTTCTCATTTCTTTTACCTAAAACATGAATACTTTTCCCATAAGTAAACAATAATCAAATTCAAAACATATACTAATAACTATCCAAATCCTTCTAGAATAATGAAAACAATTTACAATACTTAATATTTCAAATAATAATAAAAATTACGAACTAATTAATAAAGTGGATTAGCCCATAAATTCTCATATCATTACGATGGCTCCTCTTCCTCTCGTAACATTGAACCTTAATTACAGAATTTTTTTTAACAAAAAAACTTAATTACAGAGGCTACCTCGCTGGCCATTTTGTGATGATGACATGTGTGAAACTTGGATGTAGAAGATGCTGTAAGTTCATACTTATGCACATTCTTCACTTACTTTAAGGAGCTGAGTTCTCATTTCGTCCTATATATATACACACATAAAACAGTTAATTAACTAAAGATTCTGTTCCAACAAATTATTATTACACAAAATGTGCTAAACTAGTTATGTTCCTGCCATTTTGTTTTTCTTTTTATCTGCAGTACGGGGTCAAACCAGTCCTCTGAGGCATATTCATTCTCCACACAACCAAAATTCCAAATGCGACAAACTTAGCTTGTTTTTATTGCTGAAAAGCCCTGAAGAGAGAATATATTCCTCCCAAAATAATTTAACACCTTCCCTATATATTCCCACTCTTTAAGAAAACAAATTGAAAGGAAATTTAGTTACTGTTTAACTAAAAATGAAAACATGTTTATGATATACGCCGTGAACTTTCGAGCGGATAAACATGGTTACTAACCAAATGGAAACATTAATTAGTTAGCAACCAAACAATTTCCAGGTAAGTATAGTGGTATATATTATGATTGCTAAGAACACAGCTTCATTAAATCGAAATTAACCAAAGTAAATATAGAAGTTCGTTTACAGCTTCATTAAATCGAAATCAACCAGCTAGCTTCCTTCCTCAATCCGCCGTAACATTTGATTGACGGCAGCTGCAATCTCATCCGCCGTGTTCAGACGGCACACTTCCTCCACCTTGAAGCTAAGCGAGTAGAGAACCGTTTGATCCGAGCCGGTACTGGTGGTAACGTTGAGGTGCAGAATCGTGAACCCGAGTCCCTGCATCCCAGCAACCAGCCTCACCAGCTGCCTCTGCTGTTTCCTGGCCAGAATCTTCACGGTGGCGTGACTCTCCGCCATCGCCACTTCTATCTCTCCAACCGCCGCTACACCACCCAAATTGTCGTCCATCCCGTCGCCGGCGGGCGACTGAGCCTGCGAGGTCGGTTTCCGAGTTGAGTACTGCGGGAAGGCGAAAAACTCGGCAAATAACGGCGACAAACGGCCGTTATCAGTCAACCCTGCCTGACCGTCGTCGTTTTGAGCATGTTGTTGGTGTTTAGCCTCTTTCTGAGCTTGCATCGCCTGCAGCAGCTGCTCCAGCTCCTTGACGAAGTTAATCGCTCCTCCAATTATCGAAGCTTGGTCTCCCTGAACCCAAAAAAAAAAAAAAAATACAGTTTAGTCCACATATTTTTTTCTATATATACTAAAATTGAGGATTGGAGCCTGATGAATCAAACAAATTAAACTGACCCTTTGGACGTAGGAAGAGGGCATGAGAGAGCGAAGCAAGGCGAGGTATTCGTTCATCTGTTTCCTCCGGTTGCGCTCCACCGCGATGTGAGTCATCCTCTGGCTCTCTACCTCCTCCTTGTTCTTCTTCGTGTTATTGGTCCGCCGCCGCTTCCGCCGTGCGGGAGCAACGGATGCGGAACCCAGTACCACATCTTCCGCCTGCAGCGGCGGGGGGTTGAAAAATGTGGCGATGGAATCGTTGAACATTAATTTGTCCTCTTCTTCTTCTTCTTGGTGGATGCCATAGCCATAGTACTGGTCCTTGAATAATGGTGGGTAACCAAACGGGTCTTGCGAGTAGATCGCAGCTTCCAGCGCCATAGGAGAAAAAGGTAAAAAAAAGAAGGAACACCTTTCGGGCAAGGGACAGAGAGAGGCAAACTGAAAAGGCAGGCGGGTTTGCTATTGTGTCACAGTGATGGAGGCAGAGAGAGACAGGGGAAACAGTAGTCAAACAAAGACGGTATACATGAAGAAAAAAAGAACAACTACTACCCACCAAGCTGCAACCTTTATTACAACTTACAAGTAGCTACAGCGACGAAGAAGAAGAAGAAGAAGAGAACCAATTAAGAACTGAAGGGTAAGAGAGAAGAAGAAGCCCCCCTTTTATCATCCACTCGCTCTCCTTTCCTTTCCCTGCGAAGAAGAAGAAGAAGAAGGGGGAAAAGGTGGACAGCTTTGTAAGGGGAAAGAAGCAAAAAGAGCTGTGCAGGGATTTGCACGTGAGGTTGCGTCTGTAACTGTGGGAGAGAAAGAGAAAGAGATTCTCGACTGGACCTGCGAATGTGGTTCCTTCTTCTGAGTAATTATATATTGAAGCACAGAGAGAAGAGCATAATAATAATAAGCTCTTCATTTCATTTTCAGGAATCACATTATTATATATTCTGCAAGGCTAGAAATAGAGAAGTGTCGTTTTGCGGTCGACAGGCAGGGGGTGTGGCCCAGACGTGGGATGTCGCCATTACACGAACAACTGTCATTCCTTTGAATATTATTTATATATGTACCCTCAGTAAATACTAAATATATGTCGTAATTCAACAAAGATTCGATTTACTGATAATGAGGTGCTTCATTAGTTTTGCACTAACAATTAAATAATTAAACCACCAATTTTGGCTTATTATTGTTATTATTTATTTCTACCGAGACCGCAGGAGTGTACACAAGTTTGGTTCATATAGCAAGCACCAAATTATGCATCAAACTGATATTTGAACCCACATAAACCGGGTCGAATATAATGCGGGTAAATTTTCAGTTTCATTAATTTTCTGAAAATATAACCCGTAAACGTAATGAATGGATAGTCTTCTGCTTATGATCCTAAAGTTTTCTTTATGTTAAGGTAACGCGGCAAGTCCAGCTGTCCAGTGGTTATAGAGAAAGACAATGAGAAAGACAAAACCAAACAGTATATTTTCTGAGAGCACTTGTCACATATACATGATTACATATTAATTAACATCAGCAAAGTCGATAGAGATGTGGATGAAGCTAGCAGAAAAGGGAATAGAATTATAAGGGATGGGATTAGGTGGTAACCCTTATAGGAATTAGCACCGTGATAACTAGCAAAAAACGCTACTAAAAACAACGAAATCACTACGGATTATTATAAAATCAATACAACATCTAAGCTAAATACTACTAACTCTTGGTTAGGACGGTGCTAACTCTTGTACAATTAGCACTGTAACCGCTCCCGAATTATAATAGGGAATTCTTTCTAAAATTGTACCTGATTTAAACTTTTAATACTAATTAATTAGTCAATTTGGTAATCAGTGTACCCTAATTATGGATCTTAGCATGTGAATCGCCCGCATTCTACGCCAACCAAAGAATTCTGATCTTGCCTACCAAGCATGGTAAAGGAAACCGTACCGGAAGTCATATCGGATCCGTCTGTGGTAGGGTATTTTGTGGTACGACCGTGGTTCAATCGTTGTGTACCGGTAAAATACCGTTTCTGTAATTAAATAATATTTTTTGTAAAAAAACCGTATCGGCAGATTCAGGATACCGTTTCGGAATAATACCGGAATAAAACCGGAATATACTGGATAACAAATGTGAATAAACTAATAGACACAAGTAATAGAGATTTGTACATTTATAGGGAATGTTTTGACATTTTTTTGCACCAAAAATTGTAAAAAAAAAAGCTCTAACATAGAGCAGTATACACAAGCACGGTTTTGACATTTCCTTACCTAATTTGATTGAGGATGATTAATTGGTGCAACAATATACAACAAGCCGTCTCTACAAAGCTCTGTCTCTGCGCCTGCGATGCCGATGCACTTGAGCAGGGAGGGAGACACGAGCAGGGATTGGCGCGGCGGAGCGGAAAGGATCGACGGAGTGGCTCGACCTCTCGCCGGTCACAGATTGCCAGTCGGCTCGTTCCGCGTTCGTTTCGCCGAGCAGAGCAGGGAAGAGTAACAACAGAGAGGCGGAGCGGCAGAGCAGGGTCAACTCGTTCGTTTCGCTGGTCGTCGGTCGTAGCTTCGCAGGTCGCCGGTCGAGGGTTGCGGATCGCCAGAGGATGAGGAGAGGAGAAGATGAGCGGCGAGGCAGGGCTGGGAAGAAATAAACAATGAAAGGCTCCCTCCTCCAGATTCGCTTCGTTCTATTAGATAATAGGGTTTCACGACGAATGACAAATTTTTTTTTTTTTTTAATTTTAACTCAGTTAAACGGCGGCTTTCTCTCAATTTGAGTCTACCGCTGGTTAAAATGAAACCGGACGATATGTCGGTTTGGACCGGTTAAGCCGGAAAAATCGGCCGGCACGGCAAAATCCCTTCAGCCAGCTTACCGTATCGTTTCTGGTCCGATTCCCGGTTGAACCGGCCGGTACGATCCGGTTTCCTGGTCCATGCTACCAAGTGGGTACGGTAGGGCATGCATGAGAAATTAATTTGTAGGCATACATATTCCCCTTTCCCCTTAAGAAATAAATCTGATGGCGTACCTGGTTTAATTTGGATCAGATCACATGATGAGATATGGCTTGATCAGAGATATATGTTAAAATTAGGGGTGGCAGTCGGTCGGTTTCGGTTTAATCGAAAACCGAAATCTCAGTTTTCGGTTAAACCGAGACACGACCAGCTGCTATCGTCGACCAACCACCCCTCCAGCCTCGGTTAGCCGCAAACCGACCGACCGGTTTTCGGTTTTGTAACTTACAACTTCCAGTTATATGACTAAGGCTAAGAGCAACGGTTAGTAGTATTAGAGTGTGAACTTTCACATCAAAAGATCAAATGCTCTTATTCAATTGTTATCAATCATTATTTTTATTGACGCATCTGGTGTATTGGTACCATAGTTAGTAAATACTCCGTTGAATACACTTATATATATGTACTTGTATGTATTTTATTGGTTTAAAACTTTCGTATCCGTATTATTGTCAATCCGTTTTATTTTTTTCCGTTCAAAATGAAAGGTTTGTAACCGTTTTGTACAAAGTGAATAGGTTTATGATCTTTTATGCTAATTACCCATAAAACAAGTGATCAATAGACACTCACATTTTATTCATCAAACTTTGGATGAATCATTATATATTCAAATAGGGGGGAGTTCTATGGTACCCCGGGTGAAATCCGGGGTACCGCATACCTTGAGTAAGAAAACGCTATCTAGAACTTGAATTGACTAATCTTTCGGACATGATACTATACTCTAACCCTTAAAGATCAACATCTAGGTCTTAATTCTCTAAATCTTATACCCGAAAATCAATTTAATTAGAAACAATAATCGACGGTTATGATTCGTCCGAATACAGGTAAAAAAAACCAATGCACCATCTTAGGGTTTATAGTTTATGATTTAGATAATTAGGACCTAGGGTTCACTCATTAAGGGTTAGGGTATAGTATCATGCCCAAAAATCCTGGTAATTCGAGGTCTAGATAGCGTTTTTATACTCAAGGTATGCGGTACCCCGGATTTCACCCGGGGTACTGTAGAAGGCACCTCAAATAGGTGGTAGATGTCACAAATTCAAAGCAAGCATGAGACATTCTGCAAACTTCAATGCAATAAAATAAAATAAATAGATAACTCTGTCAATGTGATTATTGTACATAATATTATGTGCAATATTATACATTCTGGATGTATAAAAAGTTGTTAATTTCCGATATATATATATACATTCTTCACTACTTTTAGGAATTGAGTATTTATCATCTCCCTCCGATATATATATATATACACAATACAGTTAATTAACTAAAAAGTCTGTTGCAACAACAAGTTGTTATATTTACAAAATAAACTAATTATGTTTGGCCCAGTCCTCCCTGGTGCATAGTCAGTTCTCCACACAACCAAATTCCCAATGGGACAAATTTAGCTTGTTTTTATTGTTGAAAAGCCGTGATGAGAGTATATTCTGTTTCCCCAAAATAATTTAACACACTTTCTCTATACCCACTCTTAAAAAAACAAATTGGAATGAAATTTGGTTACTAACTAAATAAAACAAACCTAAAACCTTGACTATTAACTTTGTTGACAAATTCCCAACAATGTCCACGTAATAATAATAGAGGTATAACTATTGCTAATTAAGAAGTAAGAAAACAACGTACACCAAGTAAATTCACCACGACCAAAATCAAGATAATTATTATAAGTGCAGGCTCACAGCTGCTTAATTAATTAGTCTAAATAAGCAGCTAGCATTCTTGATAGCAACTTCCTTCTTCAATCCGCCGTAGCATTTGGTTGACGGCAGCTGCGATCTCGTCCGCCGTGATCAGACGGCACCCTTCCTCCACCTTGAAGCTAAGCGAGTAGAGCATTTGATCTGAGGTACTGGTGGCGGTAACATTAAGATGAAGAATCGTGAACCCGAGGCCTTGCAGCCCAGTAACCAGCTTCACTAGCTGTCTATGTTGTTTCCTGACCAGAATCTTGACGTTAGCGTGACACTCCACCATCGTCACTTCTATCTCTCCAACCGCCGTCTCTCTGGGTACACCACCCAAACCGTCGGCCATCCCGTCTCCGGGCTCCACCGAAACTTCCGGCGGCTGAGCCTGCAGGGTCTGGTTCTGAGTTGAGTACTGTGGAAAGGCGAAGAACTCGGAAAATAACGGCGACGACGACAAAAGGCCGTTATTGGCCGATTCTGCCTGAACATCATCGTCGTGCTCAGCATGTTTTTGATGATTACCCGCTTTTTGAGCTTCCATCGCCTGCAGCAGCTGCTCCAGCTCCTTCACATAATTAATCGCTCCTCCAATTACCGAAGCTTGGTCTCCCTGAACCCCAAAATAATACAAATTTACATTTTAGTCAAAAGTCCAAACATATATCAGGCTAGCGTACGTCAGTCGTATATTGTACGTCAGTCGAGTTTTACTATTTAGAGCACGAATTAACCGAAATTTTGAACATGATACTATACCCTAACTTCTAATAGATGAACCTCAGTCTCTAATTCTGTAACCCAAACCACAAGATTCATTTAATCTAAAAAATAATAATCGATGATTCTGATTCGACGAAATATATTGAAGTGTAAAAATCAAGTGTGAACATAGGCAGTGTACAACTGACGTACGCTAGTCTTTGCTATATATATTTTAACTAAGATTGTGGTCTGTAGCCGGGGGAATGGAAGTATGGAAGAAACTGACCCTTTGAACGTAGGAAGAGGGCATGAGAGAGCGAAGCAAGGCGAGGTAGTCGTTCATCTGTTTCCTGCGGTTGCGCTCCACCGCGATGTGAGTGATCCTCTGGCTCTCTACCTCCTCTTTGTTCTTCGTGCTCTTGGTCCGCCGCCGCTTCCGCCGTGCAGGGGCGACAAACGTGGACGTCGCCACCACATCTTCCTCTTGTGGTGGCGGGTTGAAAAATGCACCGCCGCAGGCCGTAGTGCAGAGCTCGGGGGAGGAAAAATAGTGGTGGTGATCATTATTAATATTGTAGTAAAAACAATCCTCCCAGCAGCAGCTGCTCGTAATTCCATGAATCGGCTGCTGCATAGGCGCTGGTGGAGAAGTAGTGGTGATGGAATCGTTGAACATTATTTTGTCGTCGAGGATAAGGAGGGGCGGCGATCTGTTGATGGCACCCTGATCATCTTCTTGTTGTTGGTGGAAGCCATTATAACCATAGTACTGGTCCTCGAATAATGGTGGGTAACCAAAGGGGTCTTGCGAGTAGATCGCCGCTTCCAGCGCCATAGGCCGGGGGAGAGAGAGGTTTAATTTTTATCAGGGGAAAACGGAAGTTTTTCACCACTGCAGCTTCAATTCAAATCTCCAACGGTCAACAATGGAGCGACGTCGTCTACAAGAGGGAAGGAGACGATCCAAAGCGACACCGTTCCATCATCAGCAGAGTTAAAGAAGCGTTCCTGGGCTGACGTCGTTTTGGGCAAAATGCCAATTGATACCTGATCTTCTCATTTCAGTCTTTTACCATTTTCGGCCTGTACTTTCTTTTTCACTATGGTTTGTCTTCTTTCTTGAATTGTAAGCAACCACTGAACTCTGTACTCTTATGCCCAGCTATATAAGCTGAAGAGAGAAATGAAATGAACTCAGGCTTTTAGGGTTTCACAACAAAACGTTGTTATGGTATCAGAGCCCTTCTAAACCCTAGCCGCCACAAACATGGCCGATAATACACAGGTAGATCTGGATCCTGCTGCTGCTGCAAATGCACAGCACCAGCCTCCTGTTGACCCTATGTCCGATCCTTACTACTTACATGGTTCAGAGCAGCCAGGTCTTGTCTTGGTGGGTGAGAAATTAACCACCACCAACTACAATGACTGGAGCCAAGCCATGCTTAATGCTTTGGGAGCCAAGAACAAACTTGGCTTCATCAATGGTTCCATTCCACACCCAGGAGAAGACAATCAGAATGCTTGGGCTTGGAACAGGAACAATGTCATGGTTCTTTCCTGGATTCAGCAAGCAGTTGATCCCAGCATCCGCAAGACAATCATGTCCTGCAAGACATCTCTTGAGGCCTGGAGGAGTCTGAGATCTCGCTATGGTCAGGGTGATGTGGTCAGAATTGCTGAGCTCACTGAAAACCTCAGCAACCTCAAACAAGGTAGTCAATCTGTCACTGAATACTATGGTAATTTCATTGCCATTAGAGATGAATTAGATAACTATCAACCTCTTCAACACTGCACTTGCACTCCTACCAGTAGAGAAACTTGTGCAGCTATGAAACTAGTCTTCCAATACAAAGACACCAACTCTGTCATTCAGTTTCTAAGAGGCCTGAATGAGAACTTCTCCACTGTGAGATCTCAAGTTCTCTTTGGGGATACTTTACCTGACATAGATCGTGTGTTTCAAAGAATGCTCCAACATGAGCGCCAGCAGTATGGTTCACACCTCAACAGGGTCCTTGCAGTGGACACCATGGCATTAGCAGCACAGAACTCTAACAATTCTCAGATCAGGAGACCTAGACCTTACTGCACTCATTGCAAATTCCTTGGTCACACAGAGGAAACTTGCTACCACAAACATGGGTGGCCACCTGGGATGAGTACCAAACCATCCAACCCTTCCACCAGAACCATAGAGTGTACCTACTGCAAGAAACCAGGACATACTGAAGAGAAGTGCTACAGCAAGCATGGCTATCCAAATCCTAGGCCTTCAGTCAGAGCCAGACCTCAAGCTCATTCTGCTACATCAGAAGATCTGACTCAAGAAGTCAAGCTTACCAAGGCTGATTACATGAAGCTGATGTCTCTGATGAATGACAAAGGAAACTCCAAACCTTCTTCAAGTTCAGGTCCTTCCTTCTCAGCTGCCAGCTTCATCACCAAACAACCAGATTCTTCAGGTAAATTCCTGCTCAATGTGAGTGATTACTCACCCCATCATCACACCTGGATATTGGACACAGGTGCTTCTGACCATATTGTTTGTTCTATCAATCATTTATCCCACTCCAGACCCATACAGAACATCTATATCACTCTTCCTACAGGAGCCAAAGTACAAGCAACACATTCAGGCACAGTTACTTGTATTCCAGGCCTAGTGTTGCATGAGGCTCTCTTTGTTCCCCAATTTAGCTTCAACCTTATCTCAGTCAGTCAACTGACCAAAAACAAATCCCTATGCTTGACCTTCTTCTCTGATGTCTGCTTGATTCAGGATATGCAGCTGAGGTGGATGACTGGTTCTGCTAAGCTATCCTATGGCCTTTACCACCTAGAGAATCCTGTAGATACTAATCCCTCCCATCATATCACAGCAGCCAGCACCAAGACATTTGACATCTGGCACCATAGACTAGGTCATGTCTCCCATTCCAAAGTGCCCATTTTGCAAACCTTTTGTCCACAGATAGATACATACAGTTCTATACCCTGTGATGTCTGTCATTATGCAAGACAAAAAAGACTTCCTTTCCCTTCAAGTGTTTCTGTAACTACACATGCTTTTGAACTTTTGCATGTTGATATATGGGGGCCTAATCCAATTCCCAGTTATGATGGTTTCAAGTACTTCTTAACAATTGTTGATGATTTCACTAGAATGACTTGGCTAATTCTTTTACAAGCTAAGTCTGAAGCTAGACCTAAGCTACAAGCTTTCTGTTCCTATGTTGAGAGACAATTCCAGACCCACATCAAGAAAATTAGAAGTGACCAGGGTAAAGAATTTGCCATGATAGATTTCTTCAATCACACAGGCATTCTCCATGAGCAATCCTGTGTTGAAACACCACAACAAAATAGCAAAGTGGAAAGGAAGCATCAACATATCCTTTCTGTAGCTAGGGCCCTCAAATTTCAATCAAACCTTCCTCCTGCCTTTTGGGCTGATTGTGTCAAACACTCAGTTTATTTGATTAACAGGGTTCCCACAATTGTTCTGGGGAACCTGACTCCTTATGAAAAGCTCCATAACCAAAAACCAGACCTGTCTGACCTTAAGGTCTTTGGCTGCTTATGTTTTGCCTCTACTCTTTCCAACAACAGAACCAAATTTGACTCTAGAGCTCGCAAAGGGGTTTTCATAGGTTACCATCGTGGTATTAAAGGTTACAAGATTTATGACCTGTCCACACATGATGTGTTTGTGTCCAGAGATGTTCAATTTCATGAACATGTGTTCCCATTCCACAACACTGATCCTGAGCATTCTCCTACCTATTCCCCTCCATCTGACCCTGCCCTCTATGATGATCCCAGCCCCAATTACAACCCCCCTTACCACACTATTCTCCCTGATCCACCATCCAATCCAACTACCCCTTTTGATCCTGATGATGATCCAGCCACTCCATCTCCTTCTCCTGATTCTTCATCCCCTACCCCACCACCAGATCCCCAACCACCCCTCAGGAAGTCCACTAGAGTTTCCAAAAGACCTACTCACCTCCAACAATACCATTGTAACCTGCTTAAGCAGTGTTCTTCAACCAGTCATTCTGCTCAACTGCTACCTACAGGTATGACATCAGACCTTCCCTCTTTTCTTGACTACTCCAATCTCTCACCCACTCACAAAACTTTTGTCTCAAGCATTTCTTCTCTTAAAGAACCAGAAACATACAAGGAAGCAATTCAATTTCCAGAATGGAATGATGCAATGACAGCAGAAACACAGGCTCTAGAGGCTAACCAGACTTGGGATGTGGTTGAACTACCTCCTGGCAAGAAACCAGTTGGCAACAAATGGGTTTACAAAAACGAACATCTTTCAGATGGCAGCCTAGAGAGACAGAAGGCTAGGCTAGTGGCCAAAGGGTACAGCCAACAAGAAGGTGTTGACTATCAGGACACCTTTGCTCCAGTTGTCAAAATGACAACAATCAGGCTGTTTCTAGCCATTGCTGCATCTCAAAACTGGCACATCCAACAATTGGATGTCAACAATGCATTTCTGCATGGTGATTTGGACCAAGAAGTGTATATGAAACTACCACCTGGCTATATCCCTCCACCTGGTCTTAAGAACCCAGTATGCAGACTCAAGAAATCAATCTATGGACTCAAGCAAGCATCGAGGCAATGGTTCACAAAGCTTGCAGACAAACTGCAGTCACAAGGCTACATGGCCAGCAAAGTTGACCATTCACTTTTCTACAAACAATCAGGTTCTTCTTATACATGTATACTGATCTACGTGGATGATTTGGTTATTGGAGGGAATGACAAAAGTGAAATTGAGCATGTCAAGTCATTTCTGCATCATACATTCAGCATTAAAGACATGGGTGATCTTAAATTTTTCTTGGGCATTGAAGTAGCCAGAAGTACAAAAGGGATTCATATTTCTCAGAGAAAATATACATTGGAGATTCTTGAGGAAGCTGATCTCCTCAACTGCAAACCTGCCACTACTCCTATGGACTACAAGGTTCATCTCTCCTCAGAACACAGTGACCCATTTCCTAACCCAGAAGCATACAGAAGATTGGTGGGCAAATTGATCTATCTGACTACTACCCGCCCAGATATAAGCTATGCAACCCAGCAGGTCAGCCAATACATGTCCAACCCCAGTAATTCACATCACAAGGCAGTTCTGAGGATACTGCGTTACCTGAAATCAGCTCCCACCAGTGGCTTGTTCTTCTCCTCCACTTCCAATCTTCACTTGAAAGCCTTCAGTGACTCTGACTGGGCTGCCTGTGTCGACACTCGGCGCTCCGTCACTGGCTACTGTGTTTATTTGGGGGACTCTCTGATCTCGTGGAAATGCAAGAAGCAGACGACAATTTCTCGCTCATCTTGTGAGGCAGAGTATCGAGCCTTGGCTTATACTACTTGTGAAGTCCAATGGCTCCTTTATTTACTCCAAGACTTTCAGATTGCTCATCCTCAGCCTGCCACCATCTACTGTGATAATCAGTCCGCGATTTACATCGCCGAGAATCCGACATTCCACGAACGGACGAAGCATATCGAACTCGATTGCCATTTCGTCCGTGAGAAGCTGCTTTCCAAAACAATCAAGGTTCTTCATGTTTCTTCAGTCCACCAGCTTGCTGATCTATTTACGAAGCCTCTTCCTCCAGCTCCGTTCCAGTTGCTCCTCTCCAAGCTTGGCGTCCTCAATCTGTGCCCGCCAGCTTGCGGGGGGGTATCAGGGGAAAACGGAAGTTTTTCACCACTGCAGCTTCAATTCAAATCTCCAACGGTCAACAATGGAGCGACGTCGTCTACAAGAGGGAAGGAGACGATCCAAAGCGA